GGGAACAGAACCGGGAATGGGAACAGAACCGGGATCGGGAACAGAACCGGGATCGGGAACAGAGCCGGGAATGGGGAACAGCACCGGGAATGGGAACAGCACCGGGAATGGGAACAGCACCGGGATCGGGAACAGAACCGGGAATGGGAACAGAACCGGGAATGGGGAACAGCACCGGGAATGGGAACAGCACCGGGAATGGGAACAGCACCGGGAATGGGAACAGAACCGGGAATGGGAACAGAACCGGGAATGGGAACAGCACCGGGAATGGGAACAGAACCGGGATCGGGAACAGCACCGGGATCGAGAACAGCACCGGGATCGGGAACAGAACCGGGAATGGGGAACAGAACCGGGAATGGGGAACAGAACCGGGATCGGGAACAGAACCGGGAATGGGGAACAGAACCGGGATCGGGAACAGCCCTGGGAATGGGGAACAGCACCGGGAATGGGAACAGAACCGGGAATGGGAACAGAACTGGGAATGGGAACAGAACTGGGAATGGGGAACAGAACCGGGAATGGGAACAGAACTGGGAATGGGGAACAGAACCGGGAATGGGAACAGAACTGGGATCGGGAACAGCACCGGGATCGGGAACAGAACTGCGAATGGGGAACATCAGCGGGAATGGGGAACACACCCGGGAATTGGGAACAGCACCGGGAATGGGGAGCAGCACAGGGATCGGGAACATCAGCAGGAATGGGGAACACCACGGGGAATGGGAACAGCCCTGGGAATGGGAACATCAGTGGGAATGGGAACAGCCCTGGGAATCAGGAATGGGGCTTCCTACAGATCCCTATCCCAGCTCCCCCAGCAGCTCGTCCAGAGCGTTCCAGGGATTGTGGGAACATCTACGGGATTGGGAACACCCCGGGAATGGGGAACATCACCGAGAATGAGGAACAGCCCCGGAAATGGGGAACATCAGTGGGAATGGGGAACATCACCGGGATCAGGAACACCACCAGAATTGGGATTCCTGCAGCATCCCTGTCCCAGCTTCCCTGGCAGATCTGCCAGAGTGTCCCCGAGGGCAGGAAAAGCCCCCAGCCCCGAATTCCCAGCTCCTCGAGGGCAGGAAAAGCCCCCAGCCCCAAATTCCCAGCTCCCCTTGCCCCGCCAGCTCATCCCAGCCAGATCCTGCCCCAGCTGCTCCACACGGGCTAACATTTCTCCTGCTTTTTGCCCCAAAATCCCCCAGGAAAAGCTCCTCGGATGAGCAGTTCTGCTCCAGGGCCACGTGGGACACGGCAGTGACACCCACAGGGCAGGTATCCATAGCCTGGGGAAACTGAGGCACGGAGGCTGCATTCCCTCATCCCAAATAAAGCCACTTTTCTTCCCCAACGACATGGAGCATCCTGAGCGTGTCCCCATCCCAAAGCTGCCCTCCCTGACCCTCCTGAGCTGCAGAGCCAGCACCCACAGGCTCCTGGGCACTCGGGGGAAAGGGAGGGACTTTTTAGGGCTGGGCACTCAGAGATCCCCTGTTCCTCCTCCCTCGGCCTCAGTGCCAGCAAAGGCGGTGCTTGCAGGGCTGGGAAGGCCACGGAGCTGCTTTTGGGGCCATTCACCCCCTTTATGGTCCCTTTATGGGACACCCGGGTGGGGACAGGGGCGGGGCCGGCCCAGGTGAGTCAGGGATGAGCAGGGCTGGGAGCGGCCGTGGCACAGCAAACACAGCCCCGGGAGCCCAAAGCGCCGGGCAAAGGGCACCGAGAGGGAGGGTCGGGGTCACTGGGGAGGGGACAGAGCGTGGGACCACCCTGGGGGAGGGGGACAGAGGCTGGGACCACTCTGGGGAGGGGACAGAACCTGGGACACCCCTCGGGAGGGGGACAGAGTCTGGGACACCCTGGGGAGGGGGATAGAGCCCAGGAACACCTTGGGACCCACAAGGGGAGGGGGAGCAGCACCCGAGACCTCTTTGGGGTCCACACGGGGAGGAGGACAGACCCCCTGACCCCTCTGGGACTCATAGTGGGAGGGGGACAGACCCCCTGACCCCTTTGGGGAATATGACAGACATCGGGGACCCCTTTGGGATCTGCACAGGGAGGAGATGCAGCACCCAGGACCCCTTTGGGACCCACACACGGGAAGGGGGACAGAACCTGTGACCCCTTTGAGACCCCTCCTCACAGACCCTGGGACCCCTCTGGGATCCACAAAGGGAGGGGGAACAGCACCCAGAGGGACTCCGGGAGGTCCCTGTGGGGAGTTCATGGAACCCTGCAATGCYTGGGAGGGACTTTAAATCCCATCCAGTGCCACCCCTGGCATGGCAGGGACACCTCCCCTGTCCCAGGGTGCTCCAGCCTGGCCTTGGGCACTGCCAGGGATGGAGCAGCCTCGGTTTCTCTGGGAATCGCATCCCACCCCCTCCCGATCTTCATTCCTTCCCAAAATCCCATTTCAATCCCCCTTTTCCAGTGTGACCACATTCCCTGTGTCCTGTCTGTCCATCCCTTGTCCCCAGTCCCTCTCCAGCTCTCCTGGAGCCCCTCCAGGCTCTGCCAGGGGCTCTGAGCTCTCCCGGGCCCCTTCCCTTCTCCAGGCCAAGCAATCCCAGCTCTCCCAGAAGGAAATTCCATTTAAATTACAGCCTCGTGCCGGGTGTAACTGAGAGGAGAAGCTCGGAATGCAGGAATTGTCACCCCAGGGGCAGCACCTGTGACAGCACCAGGKCTCTGGGCAGAGCTCAAACCCCACAATTAGCACAGCCGCTTAATTACTCCCTCCGGATGCAGCTCCTGCCTCTGATCCCGGTCCTGACCGGGCCAAGCAGGGCAGAGCTTCGCCGCCRCGGAGCCGAACCCGCGAGGAATTTGCGGGGCTCACCTCCAAAACGAGCCCCGCAAATTCCCAGCTCCTGACCCGGCCACGGAAAAATAACAGGCCAGGCTTTGTGGCCGGAAGGAGGGAGGTTAAATCCCTTAATCGGGATCCGCGCAGGGAAAGCCGCTGCCAGCAGCCGGGATAACTCCGGCCCCGCCARTAACTCCGCTGCCCTGCACTGATTTTGGGAACTGGATGTGCCAGCTCCCAAACCCTCGGCTGAGCTGGAGGGGTTTAGGAACCCTAAATCCCGGCACAGCCCACCCATGGAATGTCCCTCAAAGGCGCCGGCTCGGTCCGAGCCTCCCGGGAGTGTAACGGGAGCTGCGGAGCGCCCGGGGTCACGGCCGGCCCGGCCTCCCCCGGCACAGCTGCTCCACAGCCGGCAGTTTTCCTTCATCCCTGACGCGGGGAGGGCAGCCGGGTCCCTGCCCGRCCTGGAAAAACCTCGGGAAAGGATCCTGGGAAGGGCAAATCCCGMCTCGGAGCGCTCATTCCCGCTCCTGTTCCCTCTTCTCCGTGCCCCGAGCGGGGATGGAGCCGGCTCCGARCAGCCCCGGCCGTTCCCAGCCTCAGGGGAGAGCCCGGAGGAGGGAGCCAAACCCACAGCACGGAGCTCAGCGACTTTCCAAACGCTTCTCCAAAGCGTTTCTCCTCCTGAAAACGAGGAGYGAGGAAATATTCCCAAAATGATCCTGGAGGCTGCTGCCAGGCACGGGAAAGCTCCAAACTGCAGGAATCTGGGTTGGCATTGGGGTTTGGTGATCCCCAGCACCGCAGGGACACGTCTCAAAGAGCCTCAT